ATATATACCCCCCCACACCACTTGGAGAGGCTCGGTGGACAGGCAACTTGAGGCACAGTCTTTTTTGGTAGCAACACCCCCACGGCTAAGGTTGCCAGATGCCCAGCAAAAGGAGGACATGTCCTCCTTTTAAGCCTAATGTCCTCCATCCAGCAGGCAAAGCTAAAAACCTTTAAAATGTCTGGCTTTACAGGTGAGCGTGCTCACAGGGGGCCGTGTCTTAGAGCGCATGGTGCGGGCAGGCGGGCGAGAGCCAGGAGCCGCGCGTCTCCCTGACCCACTGGGGCCGCTTCTCTCTGGCGAGGGAGAGACTTTCAGTGACACGCAGCCAGGCGCTTTCCTTCCCACAGGTGAGCAGCAGCAGCAGCAACTCCTCCTCCTCTCCTCCCCCCCCCTTTGAGACAGCTTCAAGATCCAATGAATCAGAACCGTGTGTGCGGCCACCACGTGTCCTGTTTGCTCAACTTCTCCTCTTTGCTCCCCAGGGAGGAACGCAGCTGAAAAACGCGGCGGGAGCTTGAAGGGAAGCCTGGCTGATCCCCAAGCTCTCCCACTTTCCCTGCTGGTTCATCTTAGGGTGGCAAAACCCTCCACAAAACCACCGCCTCCACAGGAAACCCCCCCCCGTTGCTTTTTCCCTGCACTCTCCTTCCTCGTCTTGAGGTTTCCCCCAGGGAGCCTGGAAAGCGCTGTAGCCCTCCTGCCTTTGTATAGCTGGCACCACCAGAGGGTTTTGTTTTGCTTTGAAAAACAGCGAGGAGAACTGTGTGTTTGCAGCTGAGGCTGGAGGAAAGCGGGGGGTTATGGTACGTCCTCCTCTGTGCCCTTTTTTGTCTTTCTATGTCCTCCTTTTGGTATCTGGCAACCCTACCCATGGCAGAATATCTTCCAGAGAGAAGCAAAGCTGGCTCTTTTGGCTCCTTGCTTACCTTACTTTAGATAGGTATTAAAGACAAAAGTGTGAAGGCAAGAGGAGAAGGGGACGACAGGAGGATGAGATGGTTGGACAGTGTCACCGAAGCTACCAACATGAATTTGACCAAACTCCGGGAGGGAGTGGAAGACAGGAGGGCCTGGTGTGCTCTGGTCCATGGGGCCACGAAGAGTCGGACACGACTAAACAACAACAAAAACTATTCCACACCATCAAATATTTAATGGCTAGAATCCTGTTGCTCAGCACAGTATACCACATGACAGTAGGCCTACTGAATCAAGGGAGATTTGGGAGTCAACACATCTGTGAGGTCCAGTGATTTGAATGAACCTAAAACGTGATGAACCTAAAGGGCCTTCTATGTTTAAATATAATACTCAAAACATGCAAGAGGCTCTCTTTCATGTAATTTATAGTCTTTCAATGATTATTGAAATATAGCTTCTTAAACATAAATGATTTATGTTTATAAAAGAGGGATACTTGAAAGTTTCATGTTTCCTCTTGCATACTGTATAACTTTTTGATGCCCCTTCGTTCACCCTTTGTTAAATTGCCTCAGAAATTTTTCATCTAATAGCATCACAGGACTGTCAGCAGCCAATCAGAATGCTCAGGGAGAAGTGGAAATTTTGAATCTCTAAAAATCACAAGACAACAGTGCTCTATCCTTCAGTCTTTACTTGTGGGATTACTGTGTGCTGATCTCCTGGTGCTCTCCATCATGAATTGCTGCCTGTCTGGCCTACTGTGCTCTATTTTAGATCCTTTTCTCCTTTTTTGATCTTTTTTCTTGATGGAGTGTGTCTGTATTTTCCCCATTTGTCAATCCAAATGAAAGTTACAGCCAAGAAACCAGAGGAAGACTGAGACACAGAAGGAATTCTATTCCCAGTTAGTATGTACAGGTGTGAAAGCTGTACAGTGATGAAAGTGAAAATTGCTGACAGGAAGAAAGTTTATTTGTGCTGGAGGAGAGCTTTGTGGATACCCTGGACTGCCAGAAAGGCAAACAAGTGGGTTCTAGAGCAAATCAAACCTGAACATTATCTGGAGGCAAAAATGACAAAAAATGAGGCTGTTATGCTTTGGGCACATCATAAAAAGTCAAGATTATCTGGAAAAGACAATAATGCTGGGAAAAATTGAAGGCAGAAGGAAAAGAGGAAGCCCAAATATAAGATAGATTGACCCCATAAAGGAAACCACAGCCTTGAGTTTACAAGAGCTGAACAGAACTGTTGAGGACATGACATTTTGGAAGTCACACATTTATAGGGTCACCATAAATCAACAACATTTCTTTAGATTATATTTGCTGACTGTGCCAGCAGGGGTTTTTGTTTTGTTTTGTTTTAATATCCTTTTCCTCCCAATTTCTTTGCAGACTTTTCTTTTTCTTTCCTTCCTCGGATTATTTTTGCTGCTGCCTGGAGAAGAGAACAGAAGGTACGAAGTCGTGGGGGGGAAAGAAATGTCGTCATATACTGGACATGTTGGTTTCATGGCTTTGATTGTATTTTTTACTTTGATTTGCTTGCATATTTTTTATTGGTTTTGGGGAGAAAGGCCAGATGTGTTTTGTTTTATTTTGTTATTTGCTCCCCTTCGTGCGAAGGAGTGCTTATTCTGTTTGACTGCTTTTAAAAAAATTCTTATTTGGCAATTTTACTGTGTATAGATTTTGCTAAAGGTGTATATTTTGGTGAGGCTTTGGAGGGTTGCCTTGTTTATTTCTGTGGGAGATATGGGTCAGGTTTAGACTTCATGACTGGTGTGACACCGGACTTTCTGGTGGTGGCATTTTTCTCTTGTGCGTTGCTGCTTCTTGTTCTTGGTGTTGTGCTATTGCTGCTTGCTTAGGTGAGTGGGTGTTTTATATCCATGCAGCCAGCACCTGACTAGTTGACTATTTCCTTGTCTTTTTTCCCCTTTGTACTACCCTATGCCCAGAAGGTTTGTTGAGCTGAGCAAATAACACCGAACTCATGCTGTTATTTTCCTCTCTTCTAATGTTTGAGTACTTTACCAGTTTTCTAATTGGTTGGTGGGTGAGTGAGATTTTTTTCCCTCTGTGCGTAGGACTAGTGATAATGGGCTCCTGAATAGGTCTGATGATGATTTTTCTTTCTCATATACTCTTGGAATACATTAATTCTCTGCTGCTGTGTGTCCCCTTTTCAGAAAAGTTTTTACAGCTTTGGAAAGCTAGAAAACACAAATGGGGGAACACAAACAGGAAACCCCAAAGACCTTGTCACTTTCATGCAAAATGAAAGGACCAATAGAAAATAATAATAATGAAAGAGGCAACCATGAAAGAACCCAAAAGAAAAGAATTATGAACATTTTCACTGTGCACGTCCCTGCATAAATTCTGCTTCAATGCGAGGCTCTTTCCTCTCTTGGAAGAACCACTAAGCTGATAGGAAGTTTACTCTTTTTTTTTTTGTCCCAGCCAGATGAGGTGAAATATATATTTTTTTCAGATGGAACTAACAAGAACACATGCCAGAAGATTTGTCATCAGGGCAATAAAAACTTTCTACTTCAAATGGCACGAAGGAGGAACAAGGAAAGTCAGACAAGAGACTTCCTCAAAGTTTCCATGAACAGCGTGTATGAGACATCTCTTCCATATGAACAGATTAACACAAGCTGTGCTTTTCCATTCTCATGTCCTTTTCCAGGTCCGCCAAGTAATTTTGTAAATACATCAAAAACAGCACTCAATTCTAAGCAGTTTTTCCTACAAAACAACAGCAATCTAAATTCAGGGGCTGGTCTCCTTCAACACTCAATGCAACTCAGTTGTATTATTTTTTCCTAGGCAACGTTTGTCCTACCCACATACACATCCAAACTCAGTCATGTTGTGTCACTAGTCCCAAGCAGCTTGGTAACATTTACATTGCTAAAGATAATTCAGCACCATCCATCATTATTCAATCAACTTTTATTACCTCAATTTCTATTGGTTCAAAGGCATAATAGTTCACATGGTGTCCTCAATGTACTGGAGTGTTCATTTATCTGGTTAATGCAATGATAACTGAAGTCACTCACAATCACAACTAGTTTTCTTTTGCTTGCTTTTGATTCAATCCTTTGCTGTTTGAAGAGCATCAACTGGGGAGGGCAAGTCCTAATACTAAATTTGCACCTCTGTTTCCACCCACGCTGAGTCTATCAAGCAGTTTTTCTTATGCTATAACCTCCACCCCTGCATTTATTGAACTTTATGTTTCTTTTGAAAAATACTATAAGACACCTTTCCTGCACAATCCTTTCTAATGTTTATGGACAATAGTATCTCACTCTTTGCATACTGTCATGGGTACCATATAAGGAACCAACAATTGGCTTGGTGACATTCATGTAATCATGGGATTTTAGAAAGTCAACAGCGGGTGCAAGGGATCAGATTTGGATCGAGAGGCTGGTGTAGTAAGTAGAAAGATTTTTACCTTTTACCCACTGAAGTCTCAGTCCAGATCAAGAATAGCTGGAGGGCACCAGGGATGGAGACCCGATTTGCAGGGCTCACTGTCGAGTCGGACTTAAGCTGCACCAGTGACTCGACTTGGACTCAAGTCTGGGTCAGAACCCACCCATCCTTCCCTATTTTTCTGGGGGATAAAGCTTGCCTTTAATAGAGGCTCCGACTAGAAGCTTGGAACTTGGTCTCAAGTATTCGGACTGTATTTGGGACTCAGACTCAAAGACTTGCCAACATCCCTGGAGCATGCTTGTATTGGAAGAAAAGTTTCCACAGGCAAAAAGGAAATTTTCCTCTTGGTACAAATAGAAAGCACACTCCCAGATCAGGATGGCAGCAGAGGAGAAAGGATTAAAGATTCCCTTCCCTCCTTCCTCTCTACATACACCATGGTATCAAATCAGACAAGGGAGTACACCTGCTGTTGGCTTTTTTAAAAAGCCACTGATGCAGTTGCTCACTGTACAAACAGCATCTCAGCTATTATACAGACATTTCTTCAAATGCACCTCTGAGGCAGCCTTGATGAGCTGATGTCCCTGGCCAAGAAGAGAGGACACCCACCTTCAGGTCACGGTGTACGACACCCATGTCGTGCAGATATTTTACAGCATCTAGGATCTGTCGGATGAGCTGACTGGCATCTCGCTCTGTGTAAAATCCTTTCTCCACAATCCGATCAAAAAGCTCCCCACCTGAGACCCTAAAAAAGAGGAACACTACAAATAAGACCTATTCAAACATGGCTGCCTAAGGCACGGTAGCAAATAGTGCTGCTCCCCTACTCACCTGATTTAAGGTATGTAAAGCCACCCACATGAATTCAGTGTATAAGGCAGAAAATTTTACTGCTTTCGTTATTTCATTTCTTTTTATTTATTTATTTTTACTCCCTGTGATGGGGGAAAGTGCTTATGAGACCCTTTCCCATCATGACAAGTAAAAAATATAATAATAATAAACCCAATCACTAACCACTTGTCCTTTCTCTCACGCCCAAAATCAGCTGCCTGAGGCGACTGCATTGTCTTTTCTAAAAATAGGGCCAGATGTTTAATGAGATGCCACACGCGTGCCCCCATGACATCCCAAGAAGCCCAGAGCACCCCACACACTTGTCCATCAGGCGGTGAAACCTGAGGCCTGCGGTTCTCCAGTTCTCAACTCACAGCTGCATGACGAGGTAGAGATGTCCCCCACTCTCATAGATGTCATCCAGAGCCACAATATTGGGATGCTTGATCCTGCCAGAAGAGAAGAGATCATCCCAATTAGGAGACAAGATACAGACATCTTTAAGCTATCCTTGCTCTACCTCCACCAAAATGAAATATTAATCTACTTGCTTCCCAACACGGCTCCTTCCCTTCTGGTTTAGGCTGCTTTTCTAGCCTTCATGGCTGCTCCACTTCAAATCTGAGGGACTTTCCAGAGGGCAGTTCCTGTCCCCTGTATCGCTAGTCCTGGCCAAACAAACATCACTTAGGCAACATTGCTTCCTCTCGTAGCTTTATACAGAAAAGCAGGCTTTGCGGAGGAGAAAAGAAATGTGAAGGGGACCTCCCATGCTAGTTTTGTGTAAGGAAGAATTCGTTGAAGCCCATTCCTTTATCTGAGGAGCCCATTCCTTTATCTGAGGAGAGCGCTTGTGATATCTGACATTACCAATGCACCTCACCTTGATTCTTTAAGTTTGCAGCCCCCAGTTTGGAACCATCCTGACACTTTGGCATCCCTGCCTCCTCCAGCAGCCAACCACTCATGGGCTGCACACAGAGGACCCCTGTCCCATCTCTTTGGTGTGGTCTGCTGCTGGAGGAGATGGGGAAGAGCAGCTCGAGCTCCTGCCCAGATTAGAAAAACACTGGAAGAGGACCCCCGCAGTGCACAATGAAATGTGAGTCGGCCAGCTCACAACTAGCCTAGAAATTGGGGAGAGAGTGGTTTCCTTCATACTAAAAACATGGATCATAGTGAATGCTACACATAGCATGGTCTCTGGATCCCACTAGTGGCCAGTACTAGTAACTTCCATCTTTAGAAATACATATTTCTAGGATTTTCCTTTTAATATTTAAAGACCATGGATAAGTGAATCAGCAGATACTGATTCTGTAAATAAGAGGATCCTACTATACATCAGTAAAATAAAATAAAAATATTGTCCAAGCATACTTTTGGATGGTGTACATACAGCTAGCTGTACACCTAAGTTTTTTTTTTATGAAACAGTAGAGTAGCTGCAAGACTATTTATTTATTTATTGGACTTATAGACCGCCCCATAGTGCTACAAGCACTCTCCGGGCGGTTTACAATTTTTTAATTATACAGGCTACACATTGCCCCCCCAGCAAGCTGGGTACTCATTTTACCGACCTCGGAAGGATGGAAGGCTGAGTCAACCTTGAGCCGGCTACCTGGGATTTGAACCCCAGGTCGTGAGCACAGTTTTAGCTGCAGTACAGCGTTTTAACCACTGCGCCACTGCGTCACTAAGCTGTAAACCAGAAAGATCCCACAGACAAACCTAGCCTCTTCCATGAACTCACCTATAAGTGAGCTACCATGTGTCAGCTTTAAGACATCACACTCTCAAACATACATGGGCAATAAAGGAATCACAATAATACATTGAAGGGTGGATGTAAGGATTAATGAAATCATGTGAGTGAATGTTTATGATGCTACTAAATCTTATTATGTGCTGGGGTAATGTCCACACAGTTAGTAAGGAATTTAAATTTCCTTTTGAAGGACAGGGTATAAAACAAAAGGTTTTTGGTGTGTTTATTTTTAAATTTTAAAAAAATTGCAGAATATTACTGTATGTACAATTTTTTTTACAACAGTCAAATTGTTTTTTTTAATGGGTTGGAATGGTTCTGACATGAAGGATTAGGCTTCTGAAATAGTAAAAAATAGTAAAAAAAGAAATATATATAATTAATTTTCTGGAACGTACAATATAACATGGACATGAGGCCTTACATCACTTGACAGTGATATCAGCCAACAAGAAATTTGTACAAGGGCACTCATGAAAAGTCAGGGTAAATCGTGGCAAAGCTGAAAATTTAAAATCCAGCCTTTGTTTTGGTGACAAAAGGAAGGGAAGTTTCCTCAGCTCTCCTTCACTACCAAGATGACAACTGTACTGTATAACTATTTTGCTACAAAGGAACAGAAAAGCAGAAATAATGAAAGGAAACCAGTAACTGAAGGGTCCTCTGAGGTCAGCACCATGCAGAGAAAAGGACTGACATAAAGGGGGCAATTAAGGGAGCAGTGTCAAGGGGCAATTCAGTGAAAATTCATCAGTAACCCCAGGGCCTTACCCAACAGGAAGCCACAGTAGTGCAGAAAAGCTTCCAAGGTTATTTCACCAGGCCACTGGACTTGCTAATATTATAATTTCATTTTCAATTTTAAAAAAAATATTGCAGTGAATCCAATTTGAAAGGGGGTTAGAAACCGGAGGCCAACATGAGGGGCCACCTACAAGAATTTGGTAACGACTGGTTTCTTTGTCAGAAGAAAATGAATGAAATACAGTGGTGCACTTTATGATTGCCCCGCATTACAATGAAACCGCATTACGATGATCTTTTGCGATCGCAACTGTGATCGCAAAATGATGGTCTGAATGGTTTTTTTTCACTTTGCGATGATCGGTTCCCTGCTTCGGGAAACGATTCTTTGCAAAACGATTTTCCTCCAGCTGATCGGCGGTTTCAAAATGGCCGCCGGGCAAATAAAATGGCTCCCCGCTGTTTACTCAGACGGATTCCTCGCTGCACAGGCACCGAAAATGGCCGCCCTATGGAGGATCTTCGCTGGACTGTGAGTTTCCAGCCCACTGGAACGCATTGAAGGGATTTCAATGTGTTTCAATGGGCTTTTTATTTTTGCATCACGACGTTTTCGTTCTACAGCAATTTCGCTGGAACAAATTAATGTCGTAATGTGAGGCACCACTGTACAACAATCTCAGACTACACACCAAAGCAACCTTAATATCCAGGCGATGTGCTGCAATTAATTGATGTTACTAGGAAACAAGGACCAGGAGACACGGTTCTGGTGTCTTTCCTTAACCCCAACCATCTCTTCCCATCTTGTCCGATGCAGCTTAAGATTCCTTCTTGAAATAAGCTGCTGGGGAGATCGCTCACAACCCCCCAGAATAGTTGTGGGCGACACACAGCCTGCATACAGAACCCTTTGCTAGCTTTTGAAGCCCTTGCCACCTCCCCTACCCTGAGTCTGAGTAGAAGTTTGTTTAAAGGACTATATATATGTCCCCACGTGAGCCTTCCCACTTCTTAAGATCTTCAGAAGAGGCCCCCCTCTCAGTCTTGTTGCCATCACTGGGATGGCAGATGGAGACTCTCAGGAGAGGGCCTTCTCCGTGGCTGCTCCCAGGTTCGGGAAAGCTCCCCCACGGGAGGTTAGGTTGACCCCCTTCCCTTTTATCTTCCTACTGACACTTAAGACCCACTTCTTCATGCAGGCATTTAATAACCCTAAATGAGTCCCCACATGAGTTTGGTTTTTTAAGTTTTAAATGCATTTAATAAGTTAATGTATTTGTAGTTAAACTGGGCAACATGTTGTGCTTTTACTTGTTTTAACATAGTGAACCACCTTGTTTCCTCTCATCAGGAGAAATGTGGCCTACAAACGAGACTAAATCAATAAAAAACAAGTTGCATGCTGTAAGTACACCTTGTTATAAAATAAAAATCTGGTTAATTTTTGCCTTCATGACACCCTGAAAGTTGGTGATATGGCAGAAAGATCAGCAATAGAGGTAGGGGGCTACTCTCAATGGGTTAAAGGGAGTAAGGTATATATCCCAGAAGCTGTCTTCAAAGATCTGCCCACTTCCTTTCTTTTGAATTAAGTTGCCTCTTTCCACCATCCATTTTGCAGAACTTGGAAAGTTTTATTGTAGTGGTCGAAATCCAATTGGTACTCCAGCTAGAGTACTGAATTCATTGCTAAAAACGTACATAAATCCCACGGATTCAAGGGGTCTGCTCTAAATTGGGACCACCAATTGGAACCAGGCCAGAGATTACAACTCCAGCATCCTCCCCAACCAGCATATTCAGCGGCCCTGGTGGCTGCGGTATCCTGGAAGTTGTAGTCCAAAAGCATCCCTTTTTCCAAACTCGGACACTCTGTGATTTCTGCTTTTGACCGTACAAGAGTCTGCTTTAGTTCTTCAAAGCGTGCTGCCCTGAAAAGCTTATAAATATATCCCTAGAACATTGACAACATGACCCGGTGGGCTCTATCGACAGAACAGTGACAACCGATGGAGCAGCAACGTTTTCTGAATGTCTCACCCCCTCGTTCCCACCAAAGGATGCAGCTTTCGTGCCCTTGCTGAGCATTAAGAGAGGCACAGGAATGATCATGTGGTTTGCTCTGGGCACAAGAGGAGATTCCACAATGCCAACCTAGACTATTTTCAGAAAGACCGATATCCCAACCCAGATAGGGGGATAAGGGAATTATGAGTACATGTGGCTGTTTCAGAGGGCTCTTGACATGTGAGGAAGCACACATAGAGGTCCACAACGGTGTCGCACATATAGGGAGGAAGAGATTTCAAGCACATGGAGGCATGCTCATACTATATGTATATCTTTGTAGAGCTGCACTCACAGAAGCCAAGGCATACATTAGATATTGGCACACAGAACTTGGAAGCAACTAGCTACAAATATAATGATGATTAGCTGATTATTTTTCCCAGTAATAAAGATAGGACTCTAGACTGTATTACCATTGTAATTTAACAAGAGAGAACTTCATCCATTCTGGTATGTGATCAAAATATGAAAATCAGCACCTGCAATCACATAGGTGTCAGGGAAACCGCCATCACAACAATTTAAAAAAATTAAGTGAGAGAAAAGGACCTTGCAGTGCCCACCCCCAGTCTTTGGGGTGGGGGGATCTTGAATATTTATGTGAGTCAAGGTGTTGACACTGGGCTGTCTGTTGGTGCCTTCTTCATCGGCTGCTGCTCTCTCTCAGTACATTTAGAAGTTGCTTAAGGAGAGACTAAAGCTCAGGAAAGTTACTTCTGGACTACATTATTCCCTCCACATCTAAAGCTGAGAAAAGTTTTTTATTTTTTATTTTTTGCCTGAATCTCTCTCGAGATCCACAGCTTAAGCAAAGTTCATTTTTCATACTACATTCCCCACTCTTTACATACCAGTTTTGCTTTTAGTTTTTTGCCTGCTTGAATGACTCCCTATTCTCTCTACTACTACTAATTTTCACTACTTTCACTATTTTTCCCCACTCTCTCCTCAACTCAAGGACATAAAACCATTCACAGAGCCTGGAAAAGTTCCTTTTTTTTTTTTTAAACCAGGCCGGCTGAGGGATTCTGGAAATTGTCATCCAAATAAGGGAACTTTCTCAAAATGTGCTCTAGCAGCACCACGGGTCCAAGAGGATGGGGGGAAAGGCGGAAGAGCACTACCCACTTGTGTAGCACCGCAATCTCATTCTCAATGCTGCTCTCCTTCCCTTCCAGCACCTTCTTTGCAATGCATTTGATGGCCACCAGCTTCTGGGTTGATTTCTCTTCAGCCAGCACCACTTCTGAGAAGGCACCCCTGGAAAACAGAAATGATTGTTGGGGACCGCATGGACACCTGATGTGCCCCCAAAGGAGCACGGTCTACCATCCTTGGCCAGATTGATGCAGGGACCCTAGTAAGCAAAGAGAGGGGTCAAGAATGGTTGGTATTCCATTGGGCTGAGCCATGGCTTGGGGGTGTGTGTGAAGCCAGTGAGTACCAGGTTCCTAATGCAAGTCCCCTCACCCTCTTCCTCTGCCTTCCTTGCCAGCACTGGCCCCTCCCCATTCACTCAGCTGGATCTCTCACTCAGCCATTGTCACCACAGCAACCTGCAGAATCTCTGCTATTTATAGCAGAACCTGTGAGAGATGGCACCAGGCGGGCAGGCAGGCAAGAGAGAGAATGTGCCAGGAGAAAAGGAGTGAGAAGGGAAGGTTCACTGGGCAAGGCCTTGGGAAAACTGTGCCAGGTAGGAAAAAAGATTCTCTGTGTCTTAGGAGGTAGTGATCCTCATGACGACGATGCTGGTGGAGCTGTGCAGATCAGTTTTGGGTAAGAGCAAATCTAGCACAGTCCTACTAGCATCTGAAGAGGGACAAGGAAGGGACGGAAAGTCACAGAAGGGTGAAATCCTGATACTTGCCTGGCAAGGGGAGAAACAAGACCATTATGCCCCAGCAGACAGCTTCTTTCATCCACAAGCATGTGTTGTTACAGAGAAGGGTGAAGTCCTGATACTTGCTTGGCAAGGGGAGAAACAAGATCTGGAGATCAGAAGGATGTTACCCCATTATGCCCCAGCAGAGAGCTTCTTTCATCCACAAGCATGTGTTGTTGTTCCCCTGCATGGACAGGTGCACATGGGCCCATGCACCTGCATGCATTCAAACAAACACACAAACACACACACATACAGCTTTCTCTACAGGCCTGGACTGTGCTTTCTTCAACACACAAAGGAAGCTACTGAGACCATCTCCTTGCTTATCTTCAGTGTTTGTGATTACAGTTCTTTGGTATCTCAGTTCTATCTATAACAGCGATAAAAAGGGGGCAGGGCAATGGCATGAGTTCAAGGAAAAATAAATCTTCACTGCAAAGCTAGAAGGAAGTCTTGTTTTGTTTACAGACCTAAGAGTGTTCAAGCCAAAAGAGGCACGGGTCAAGACAAACTTCAGCAAGTCAGCGATTCCAAGGGTATCAAGGCCACACCATCTGCACTATTTATGCCCTGCCTTTGTTTCCCTCCTGATGTCTGTGTGTGCAAATGGCTGCTTGCCTGCCTTTCTATATGCCTATTTGTGCCCAGTGAATACCCTCTTTTGCCCCAAGATTTACTCGTCCCTTCTAGCTCTGCCCACCAGAGTTTCGCTTTCTGCCTCACCAACCACAGTGGGGTAGACACCACCGTTGCCCACCAGAAGATCTCCATTTGCCAGCTGCTTTTTATGGTCCAGGAAGAGTCATGGAGGAAAAGGCAATCAATGGCTATTCCTCAAGGGCCCTCTATGCTATATCCAGGATCAAAGGCCACATGCCTCTGAGTACCAGCTGCCAGGGAACAACAGGGCACAAGGGCGTAGCACCCTTGTTTTGGCTCCATGTGAACATCCCAAAGCTGTAGGTCATCCACAGTGGGAAATGGAATGCTGAACTGAATAAGCCCTTCAATCTGCTTCAGTAGAGGCTTCTTAGGTTCTTGCGAAAAGTTAAGAGTTCTAAAAAGGATGCCTTACAAAACCTGTCACCTAGTTGGGTTGATAGGGTGGCTACAGGAAGAAGAAAACAAGGAGGCCTCTGTATTTAACAGCCGTGCAGAAGGGGGAATTTCAGGAGATGGAGCTTGCTACACGAGCCTTTCCTACTGAATTTCTTCTTCCAGACAATTGTTAAAAGTACTTGAGCTGTCTTCTCTTTTTCATAGCGCCAACGGATTGGGCTACTCCCATCTCCATCACTGTTAGGACCCTGCCTCTGGTGATATAAGACAATGCTTGTTTGTCCCAATTGTTTAATTACTTTTTTTCAAAAGCCTACCGTGCCATATTCTCCTATGCACAGTCATTACTTAGAATTGTGATGTCTCTCTAAGCATGTACTTCAGCGCTTTTAAACCACTGTAGCTGCCTGTGGAAAAGAAGGTTGCGAACAGGAATTCAATCTGCACGGAGGCTTCGGCCTTGTAGGAATGGCATGACCTTGCAGATTCTTGTTAGCCATCATGGTAGCTGGTCACAGCAAACACAACAAAGAACTTCATGGCATCTTAAAGGCTACCACGCTCAAGATGACATAAGCTTTGGTGGATCAGAGGCTGCTGCTTCAGTGGTGTAAAATGTTAAGTTATTTATATCTTTGAAGAGGCAGGCTTATGACAGCCACTTTTATTTTGACGAAGAGGCAGCCAGCTTGCGGGGAGCTCTCTGAAACATGCTCCCTGTCAGCTGTCGGCAGGAAGCTGCCCTCACCTAGCTGCTATACATGCAGACCCCACTTCTAGGGGTTGCAAAGCACCTGGTAGGGAGAGGAGCTTGAAGGAAAACCTTGTACAGTACACGCTCCCACCCAATTTGGGAGCATGTTCAGGTGTATTGCCTGCTTCTTCTTCAGAGTAAAAGCGGCGAGCTTAAGCAGGCATTTCAAAAAGCATGAACCATGTAATGCGCAGTTTGCCCTTAAAAGCACACAAGATAAACATAGCAACCACTCAAAACAACACTGACTTGTCACGAAGTATTGTTGCGCAACTCACATCTCGTCTTGGAAACAGAAAAAGGAGCAGCCAACGGAGAGGGCTTCCCCACCCCCATTCCAAGGCACTTGAGAAATTTTCTCAACACTGGGAAATGGACCTCCAAGGTATTTATGGAGTCTTCTGTGCACTCTCACCTTTTCATCCTTTCTGTAATTAACACATTAATCCTGCCTAAGTGTCTTAACCGTCTCCAGCCTGGCCTCTCTCCACTCTGAAAAGAAACCAGTCTAGGCAACTTTGCTGGCGGCCAGCTCTACCTCCGGGGTCAAACGTAGCTCCTGATCTTCAGACAGAGATCAAGCTCCTTGCCATAAATCCTTCCTCCACCTGGTGTCCTCCAGATTTGTTTAATTACACCTCCCATCATTCCCACCCAGGATGGACCAATTTTGTCCTACCAGAAATTCTGAACTCCAGTCTCCATCAGCACCCCACATTATAGCCAATGGTAAGAGTCTGATGGAGCTGCAGTTGAAAACAATTCAGGGGAAGGAGGATGTGAAAATTTTCCACACTCTGCCACTGAGCATCATGCTAGGGGATCATGGGAGTTGTAATCCAGCACATCAGGAGGGCACAATATTGGGGAAAACTGCTATGTGGGAAGAAGGATGGGACTATAAGGAGGTGTGGGAGACAAAGCAGCCTTTGGGGAGGGGAGCAAACATTTTTCTTCTCCCACGTTGAATATAAACATTGATTTCTTAAGTCTACCTTTGTTCACAAATATCTCACATGGATTAGATCCTTTTGATAAAACAAAGCTGGAGAAAAGTGAGACTGAAAATGGCTCCTGGCATAAGTCACACAGAGGCCTCACCACCTCAGCCATGGGAAATAAATCCCTCCCACTCTGCGAAAAAAAATAAAAAAAATAAATGGTAGGGTTCTGTGGGTTGTCCAGATACTTAAGCAGTAGCTTAGATCTGTCAATATTGACCAAGGCCTGTACTAATATTTGAGACCATCTCATTCCAAAACACATTCAACATCTGCAGGCCCAGCCCTGGCACAAATCTTGAGGTGGAGTATATTGATAATTCAGGGTGGGTGGAAGAGTAAATGTTTAGAAGGAACTTACTTGTACCAAAATATGGGCTCTGAATCCTGCTCCACATTTTCCCCTCCTTCTACTTTGCCCCATTTAGCAGCTGACTGCTGCAACCATGTGATCCTAAAAATATCCATGACAGGCCACCACATGATCTAAGGCGGAATTCCAGAACCAGCATCCTTCAAATGTGCCAGACAACAAGTCCCACCATCCACATCAGAATGGGAGTTATAATCCAACATATCTGTCTGATGCCATGCTAGAGAAAGCTATTCTAGAAAAACATGAACATAGACAACAGAGACATGTAGTCCTTTAGGGGCACAACCCATTCCCCTAATATCCTGAAGTAAAAACTGGTGGAAAATGGCAAATCATGATCCCAGTAGTGTGATTTGTCACCAGCGAGGTGAAGAGGGAGGACGGTTATAGCTCCTTCCAAAGTGCTAGAGGGAGGGAAAACCTGAATTTCAACCCATTCTGAGGTGAACATGACCAATCAATGATCTACAGACCCATCATATCTGCAATATACTTGGTTTTTCACCAAGATTCTATCCTTTTAAGAAAATGGAGAATGATGAGTGAGCAAGAAGGCCAAACAATTTTAGATAAGGCTACAAATATCTCTGTCCCTGACTTTACAAAGTTCTCACTAACGATGCACCAGACCCATGACTCACAGGGTCAATGTCAGGCGGACTTTCTAAGTAGCAGGAGCTATGACATTATCTGCCACCCCCCTCAGGACGCTCTATTCGCTCAGAGCTTAGTTGCAATCCTCAAAGTACCTGGGAAAGAAAGGCATTTGCTCAGGAACAAGTTATTCCTGCTGTAATGCAAAGTAATGGGGGTGGGGGTGGTTATGGCTTGATCCTGAATAGTCAATTAAGAGCCATCAAGTGGCTCTTAATGATTCATAAGGACATTCAGCTGCCTCAATTACTGGACTCTTCTTACAGGGGTGGGGGCAGAAGGGGCATGAGGTGGCTATGGCCTCTACCACAATGAGCACCTACACCTCGAAATGTATTGGTACAATGCTGGCTCTTATTGAGGGCAACTGTACAAGGAAGACAAAGCACTTTTAACTATGCACCATCTCAGAGTCAGTCCTGTCGTTGTACAAAATAAACCAAATGCTTAAAGCAGTAGTTGCTGGGATCAACAGCAGTTCCTTTCTGTTCTTCCTGCTCTTTCTAGCCAGGAAAGAATTACCATAGGCCATGCAGTTCTTGCTCTCATCCCCAAAGCTGACCGGATGCTCTTCCACATGGTGAAGGATGCTATCCTGTTGCCAAAGCTCAAATAAGATTCAGCAGGCAGTCCGGTCAGCTCCTCTACGTGGGACTGATGCTTTGACAATTGGCAGTTTAACTCAGGATGTTTGTCCCTACCTTCTCTAGACACTTTCTACAAGTTTGGCCACCTTGATGTGGGAGAAAAAAATATATATATCCTGGTAGCTACTTCAACTTGAAATTGTTTTGGGTTTTGGTTTCCAAAGGTCTCTAAGTTATAAGCAGTAGCCAGGCGTGAATAAAAAATAATGGCTCATTTAATGACTTTTCCTCAAAAGCTATACAATGAGCAGGACCAGGAGCTCTTGCAGTCATCCATCTGCAAACAATTTAAAATAATCAAAAGTGAAATAGGACTCTCAAATGGCTGGGAAATCCTACGTTATGTTAACAAAGGCTACCTTTCTTCAGTTGGGTGCCCCCCACATATCCTGCACAAATCTGGGAATGATGGGACATGTAGTCAAACAAACCAGGCTTAATAGAAGAACAAACCAGCCTCAGTAGGAACAAATCCTTGGAACACACATCAAAGATAGATCAGTTGGGACCTCCTGGTTCTGGCTGATTTGGAAGAGATTTGCAAATGGCTTCTGAATTCCAGCTATCTTCCAAGAGGAACAACAATCTTCCCTGTTCCCACCACCCATCACCTCCTAGTTTGCTAAAACTAAAATAGCTTTTAACTGGAAGAATTGGAAATAGATTTGTGTGTAAAAAAATCCAGATATTGACAACACTAGTACACTGACAATGAGTTACATGCTCAGAGGCACCCTTTTTATTCAATTAGTGATATAAATTTACTCTGTCCAGCCATGGCCAACCAGTACTTCACTTTTGGTGATCTTTGTGGTTTGGTGTGTGTGTGAGAGAGAGTCTCCCACAAAGTTGATCCTAGTAGCCTGCTCAGTCCTACCTTAAAGGGATCAGTGCCAACCCAAATAACCTCAGTAAGTAATTGCATGAACTCACGTGCCCAGGACTTCCCGGAATTCATAGATCTCCCGGATATCTGCAGCATGCTTCTTCCAGCTGGGATCCTCCTTTTCCAAAGGCATGGTTCTTCCTAAGCTAAACTGTGGGCCACCAAATGTTCAGGATCAGAGGGGAAGGCAGCGGCGGCCAGCTGAGAACCTACCGAGGCAAGGACAGACACAGGGTGTTAAAACAGACAGGATCTCAAGGCAGGATTGTGTCCAGAAGCGAAGCACGACCTCAGAGAAGAATAAAAGAGGGGCAACACAAAACAGATGCCCCTTAGCACATTCAAGTCTTGCACAGCACATGGCCTTCCAGTGAAAGGGGGGCGTGAAACCAATCAGCATGACAATCCCAGAGCGCATGGGGCACCCTATTTGCTGTGAAGCGGCTGAAGTTTAAAAACATTTGCTCAGAATGCATGCAAAAAAAAAAAATCTTCTGAAACTGTCTCCTTGCAGCTCAGCTGTCTCTGGCGAGCCCCTCAGAGAAGGCATGACCTGCTCAACAGGAGCTGGGCCCTCACTGTGACAGGCAGCAGAGCAGGAGATCTCCTGAGGATAAGGGGCGGAGGCCGGGAGACGGGGGGGGGGGGGCGGCGGGCGGCGCCTTACCTAAAACTCCTTGCCACTTCCACTCATCTCAAGCGCACCTCTTCCCAATTTATTTCATCTTGGTGCCCTTAAGCATATTGCTCAGACTTTATCCTATTTGGTAACATGACTGCTGTCTCCATGGCAACAGCTACAGCTCCTGCAACACGGCAAAAAGACAGCTCTTCCCTCTGCCCGGACCGGTGTCTGCCGGAGGGCAGAACCGTCTGACGATTGTCACACAGGCCCCTTAAAAATTCCTAGGCTCTTTGCCCACTCCCTCCTTTGGAGATTCAGCGAGCCAGTCCTCCATAAGTAATATTTCCCCCCACCCACCCGCATTCGGTGCCTTGCTTCTGTGGAGACTAAGCACGAGCCGTCTGTGTTTTCAGTCTCATCTGTTTGACTTTTGTTTTGGCTGAACTACGACTGCCTTAGGCTGAAAAAGAAATGATGTATTTTTAAAAAATAATAATAAAGTAAAATTAAAATCATAAAATATACGGCGCACAGACATTTTGAAAGCCAAGTTACATAATGCCCATTCCCCTCCCTCCTAGCTGCAAAGATCCACTTTCAGTATAAAGTCACACAAGGACAACCCAAGTTCCTCTTGGCTCAGGTTCCTGCCATACAAGCAGGCATGGTCTCCACTGAAGGGCAGAGACACCCTGGTTAGAGGAAGGGCAAGCTCTATTGGGTAACATCCACTCAAGGAAATGGAGTCAGGGTGAGCGTCGTTCATAAACACGAGCCCATATTGCTTCGCCTTTCCCAGAGCAACCTGCCATCAACGCACACAAGGATGTACCTCCTGGAGATTCTTCCCCATGTTTAAAAAAAAAATCATCCCCATAGAAAGCTAACATGTTAAAGAGAAGGCATTCTCCTATAGACTGCCCGTTGTCCCAAGATGCTAATATTTTTCTTTATAGTTGACAAAGGGAACAAGGGAGAAGACTCACCCTATCCTTCTGAACTGGCAACCTGTCTATAAGAGATGTAGCATGTCTTTTTTTTTTTTAAATCATGAGTCCTTCACCTCTGTGACAACAGCACAGACACTAAAGAGCAGAAGATGATTCAGATCTTTTGGCTAAACTAATTTAACTCTCTACATGTGAATTTTAGGAACCAAAATCATTGGTGCCTTCCAGATGGACAGGGTGTAGTTTTGTCACTTAAAAACCAATTAAGCAAACTTACGCCATTTGTAAAGTGGGAAATGGGGGATGGCTAAGCCATCTAACACACAATGTAACATCAACAGGCTCAGTCTGTCTCTTTAATCCTACAAGCTAACCATGGGGGAAGTGTGCATAAATTCATTGCATGCATGCATGCATGTGTGTGTGCACACATATCTGCAGGTGTGAATGTGTAAAAGCAGCACAGCACTCTCTATCTGATACAATCAGGATTCCAGCTTGGCCAAAACAGCAGTTTCATGGTGAACTTTACAACTCAGCAGACATATTTAAACATTAGCTTTCAGCTATGAATTAACACATGCCGATTGAATGACATGTTCCCCTCCAAGGAAAAAAGTAACTCTATGCCCGGGTTGGCTTAGTATGGAATTATCCCACCTAGATAACAAGGTGCTAAATGCCATGCTGAAATCCAAGCCAAACGCAACAGCTAAATAAACCAATAAATAGATGAAGGACTCAGCTGAGTGTCACATAAGACTCATCTAAAAGACTTGCTCTTATACTCGTTAGTCAATATTATATAACTGCAGATCCTCTTCACAGAATTGCATAAATGGCCAATAGTTACGTTATAGCTGGGAATCTATCCTGACTTCAGCCGAAGCCTGAAGGACCACTTTACTAGTTTCACCTACCTTTAAAGCGAAAGCCTCAAATTTGCAAAGGGGCCCTGTTTAAATAGAGAAAATTGCAAGAAGCACAAGGGTGCTTAATCCTTCACCCTCCAGCCCAGGATGTCTACCATGCCTTGGATGTTTTTCAAGGGGATGGGGAAGGAAATAAATAGAGGACATTCAGGTAAATGAAGTTGCAAACTGCAAGGCCTCATCTGTCTTTTTTCTTGCTGCCCCACTCATTTGTCATCAGCAACGAATACTGCCTGGGATGTTGGACAAAGAGGAAAAGAAGAAGGAAGGGTAGTAGCAGCAGCAATTGCAAAAAGCTCTCTTCCTTTGTTCCCTTCTTTCGTTGGTTGATTATGTGCTATCCAGTCACATATGACTCATAGTGACTCGAAGAGGGCTCTTCAGGTATGTATTCTCGAAGGCTTTCACAGCCAGGATCCGATGAACACAGAGTTCTAAGTCCTGTCCTCTGAAGATGCCCATGGCCACAGAGACTGGTGAAATGTGAGGAAGAAAAACCTCCAGAACACGGCCAAACACCCCAAAAAAACCCACAACAGCCATCTTTTCAGGTATGTGAGATATTTAAATAGGAGTTTTACTAGCCAGCACCACTCTGCCTCCCAGTTAGTTCTTGCCCAAGCAGGAACATGAACCTGGGTCTCCTGAGTCTTAGTCCATGGCTCTGTCTACTACACCAGAGCATTACGCCCTTAACTATTAAGATAAACACCAAGGAGAGCAAAATAAATAAGAACATGTGGCCCTACTATATGGCAAAATGGAAAGTGAACATCTCAGAGAGCAGATGCTGGCTGAAAGGAAATAGCGGGAAGCTGTTGCAGGAAGACATAGGAAAGTGTGCCATATACCCTGGCCTGTACCCCAAAAGTTCACCTGGTGGCCCTCAGATCCAGTGGATGAGTCTATTCTTCCACTAGGGCTTCAAGTAAGATTGCCACACCAGTTGGTTCAATACAGAGTGAAATCTTATCTTCTGCTTTTCTCAGCACAATGTTTCGAACATTCCCTAGAAAAAGCAGGAAGCAGTTCCAGAAAGAGTTGCTGGAACACAAGGTAAAGCGTGCCAGCTCCCAATATCACACATTTAGGCAGTGGGCTCTTTAATGCCTTTTCCCCTGCACGAAAGACTCCAAAAGATTTCTCTTCTTATGGACTGCAGTTACTTGTTCTTGTTTTGTATGTACATTAGCATCTCAAAATGAGGTACGTTCGAAACTGGGAGGTACCTGTGCATAATACAGCTGAGGTGCGTAGCATTGCTATTCAAACCAGGGAAGAGAGGGTTTACATAGCTTACTGCCTGCGTGGTGTGGATGTAAGTAGCGCAAAGGCAAGAATGCTCCCTGGGTTCTTGCCATCTGGAAAGGGTCAGATCTGGATCTCCCAAGCTGCATGATCAGAACCATTACAAGAAGAGTTTTCCATGTGAAACAGTGGGGTGAATGGTGCTTCATCTATTCCCCTGCAATCAATGTGCATCATAGTCAAAGTCAACCATGTTATTTGGGCACCTAAGGAAGATCGTTCTGCAAGCACTTCCCCTCCTGCCCAACATAAAATTGCCATGAGTTGGATCTAGACTCAGCCATACTTAAGAGCAATAGATCCCTTAAAATTAATGGATCCAAATAGCCCAGTTCAAGAATAATAAATGACTAACCAACTACTATTTGTTACCTTTTTTATGACTACCAAATACTATGGTCTCGGCAGTCACTCCCGTCTGCCTAATGGTAGGGCTGGCACTGCATAGGATTAAAAGATGAGGGCTCACTCGCAGCTTATTTAAACCATTACTGGCTTATATTCACAAAGGCTTTCACGGCCGGGATCTAATGGTTGTTGTGGGTTTTTTGGGCTCTTTGGCCGTGTTCTGAATGTTGTTCTTCCTAATGTTTCACCAGTCTCTGTGGCCGGCATCTTCAGAGGCCAGGAAGGTATGTGAGATATCTGAAGATGCTGGCCACAGAGAGGGGCGAAACATTAGGAAGAACAACATTCAGAACACGGCCAAAGAGCCCAAAAAACCCACAACAACCTTTACTGGCTTCTCTGAAAGGCAGTAGCAGCTCTGAAGGCCTCAGGGAGCTTGAGATAGATGGACAGAATGACTTAGCTCAAGATGAAGGCTATAGGGACGTGGTGGGGCTGTGGGCTAAACCGCAAAAGCCTGTGCAGCAGGGTCAGAAGACCAAGCAGTCGTAAGATCGAATCCACGCGACGGAGGGAGCGCCCGTCGCTTGTCCCAGCTCCCGCCAACCTAGCGGTTCGAAAGCATGCAAATGCGAGTAGATAAATAGGGACCCCCTCGGTGGGAAGGTAACAGCGTTCTGTGTCTAAGTCGCACTGGCCATGTGACCACGGAAGATTGTCTTCGGACAAAACGCTGGCTCTATGGCTTGGAAACGGGGATGAGCACCGCCCCCTAGAGTGGAACACGAGTGGACAAAAATTGTCAAGGGGAACCTTTACCTTTACCTATAGTACTGTAAGGACTTGTACTGTACCAAATGATCTGCTCTTCTCACCAAAAACTGCTACTATAATGACCAAGGTTTGAAGCTATAGAGAGCAAGTTTCAGTGTGGCGTGCCTTTTGACATCCCTTCGGTTTTGGCTCTTAAAAGAAATCTCCATGCATGGAATTCTTTAACTCTAAGGATATGTCTTTAGCTTCAGGTTCCATCTAGTAGAGTTCCTGGAAAACACACAGCCAACCTTCCAAGGTTGAAGTCTTCCTCCTCCCCCCAGCTCTGTACTACATCCCATCAGATCTCTCTCTATTGTCAGCTCCTGTCACAGGGCAATCAATGCTAAAGAGGTTCAAGAAGCTATCCACATGACCTCTAGCTCTTAGTAAAGTCAAGACATAGACACAGACAAAGCAAAACAGATAAAGATAGCTCAGCATTGGCAGGAGTGGCAGGCACGGAACACGGCAATGCCAGACAGATACCGGTATAGAGGAAAAACACAGCCCTCCACCAGCAAATGCGTAAACAAGGAGCACTTCCCCACCTCATGCCACACATACATACAGGGGCCACAGGCAAATGCACAAGCACAAATGCAGAGAGAATGCTGATGCACCTTTCTGAATCAGAGGTAGGACAGGGGAACTGGTATTTCCCATCATGTTGCCATAGCTATGCCAGCTGCCTGTCACACAATATACAGAATGTCTGATATCCAGGGTTAGGTGGGTTGCATAACTGCGGGGAAATACAATGGGAAAACCATCCTGCTATTTGCTTGAATGTATAACTACCGTGCTAGGAAGAAGCTAACAAGGAGGGCTTCTTTGCTGCCTCTGAAGCTATGCGGTGGAAAGGACCAACCACGACCCTGTCTGAGCCCTTTAAGCATCCCTCTGTATCTTACTAAGTGATAGCTTTTGGGAGGGTAGTAAAATAAGAGAATGTCCAATATGCAATTTTTTTTTCATTTTATTAAAAAAAAAAAAAACAGAAACAGTCAAGAAAACAGCTTGGCTCTCCTTACACCTATGCCATTCCCAGTGCCACCGTCCAAAATATGTACAGTACAAATCAATCAGATTAGAAGGAACAATGTTCCTGAGTGAGAAATCCCATTTTCAACCGCCAAACAACTGAACTTGAATGCTGAGAAAAATGTGAAAATGGAAGTGGGCTAGAGAGGCATCTGAATCCCACACAACAAAACTTGTGATGTAATCTGTATCCTTGTTTTTCTCAAAAGCAAGCCCCCAAAGAGCCATTTCTAGGTAAGCATGTATAAGTAGTGCGGGTCAAGGCGGCTTTCGTCCTCCCCTCCCTTATTATTAAACAAAGCTTCCACTTCCTCTGGCATTTCCGTTCTTTAGTAAACACAGCTCCCTCCACTTCTGCATTTCCCCCAACAAGTATAAAATAATTAGCACAAGACAGATCTTTAAAATATCCAATATAAAAAAAAAAAATTATGTGCCATCAAGTCAGTTCTGACTTACGGTGGCCATTTACAGGGTTTCCTAGGTAGAGAATACACAGAAGTCATTTACCATTCCTTTTTTTTTCTGGGGACATCCTGGCATTGTGCAGCTTACCCAAGGCTCCACGGGCTGGCTCCACTCACTGGAGACAAAGTGGAGAATCCATCTCCTAGCTTTTGCCTGTGCAGCCAGATGCCTATACCACAGAGCTATCCAGCCAGCTTTAACACATCTATCAAGAATCAATATGATGTAGTGATGCGCTAGGTCTCCGGAGACCTGGGTTCAAATCCCCACTCAACCATGGCACTGGTAAATCCACCCCTTAAATATCTCACATGCCTCTCACATGGGAGTCACCCTAAGTTAGATGGGACTTGACAGCATAAAACAATAGTGGACGATTCAAGAGAAGGAATGGAAAACAATTTTGCAAATTTATCATGTTGAGGGGCTGTTTAGAAACAGCCTAACAACAAATAAAGTAACAAAACACAAATATGCACCCTCAGAAGGAAATGTGTGCATTAAACTAACAAGCAGCCACCGGAGTATCGTCACATTCAGAAAGACGCTATGTACTACAGGGAGATAACAGTAGATTTGAAAAGAGACAGGTTCTTGTCGGCAAAACAATTATATAACATTCACACCCAGATGCAGATCAGTACAATGGCGATCACACGTTCATGTTCATACTTTTATTCTTATTATCTCTCTCACACACACACAGAGTTGCATACTCAGACACTGCTGATTTCACAGGAAATAATCACACATGGGAGTCAATGAAAAGCAAAGCCTATGCCCACCTCTGCCCTCAGATGTGTTTTGTGTTATCGCAGCTGTATAAAAAAAGACAGCTTAGGCATCCACGCAAAGATAGGTATATCGGTACAGAGACAAAGGAATATATCACATGGGTCTCTTCCCACTGGCACAATGATACAAAGAAAGGTACATGACACATTCCACTGATATCTCTTTGCACAAAGATCACTGATGGGTACTGGGCTCAAAGACACAGCATGAAAATATGGATACTGGCATGACGCACAAAGATCACTGATGGGTACTGGGTTCAAAGACACACACGCAGCACAGCATGAAAATATGGATACTGGCATGAGCAACAATTTGCACACAAACGTACCAGGTACATCACACAGGAAATACCATGCAGAGCCCTGTACAGGCGGTGGAAACATCGCACAGAGCAGACCCATACCTGCTCAGACAGAACTATACATCAGAACCTACAATCCTACAGGTTCAAGGTCATCTCACACAAACCTTCTACACACAGAGGAGAGAAACAACTGCATGTCGTCGTCCCCGTCCCCCACCCCACCCGCCTGGAGACACAGACCAAGAGGGCAGAGTCATCAACTCAAGGAAAGAGCAGTACGGGGCATAATCCCAGTCTTGCAAAACAACTGCATGCCTCTGTTCACTGTGCCTGAAGTCCCACTGTGTCCAGCAAGGTAAATGCAAGCACGAAAAGCATCGCAAAGGTAGGCAGGTAGGCAGGTGCAGAGCAAAGGAAAGCTACCAGCCGTTACAGACTGGAATTGAACACACACACAAACACACACACCCTTAGGAGACCCTCCCGTCTGTATGCAGAGAGAAGGGATCAGGATGGAACGCCCGCCCATAAACATTTACACAGCGATGGCAAGGAGATACGAACCCTGATCCGGTACTCTCACACACATATACCCGCGGACGGTGGCAAGTGCGGGCACAGGGAGGACCACCTCCGCTCTCCCACTTATATGCCACATGGGCAAGTCATGGCAAACATATATACACACACACACACACATACTCAGGACGACCCGCAGCCCACACAGGGACCCCGGGAGGCTCGCTCACGCGGTGCAAACAAGGCGCGATGGGCAATGCCACTCACTCACTCAACCCACCAGCCCACCCCGCTCGGTCCTAAACCGCCCCTCACCTTTTCTTTTCTCTGTGGCGGCAAAGGTGGGTTCCCTAGATCACGCCTTCCGGCCGGAGCGGTCCCTGCCCGCCTGCCTGCCCGCCTTCCCTCCCCGCGCAAGCTGCGCGCCGCCGAGCCTTCGAAAATCGCCGCTCTCCCTTCGCCGCTCGCCCGCCAGGCGCGCGCCCCCCCAGCAAAGACGTCACCACGAGCAGGCGGGGCTG